CACACACACACAGAGAGATATATGTATGTGTGTATGATTGTGGCCATTTTTGATTTTAATGTGGAAGTCCACTTTATTAAAAGGGAACTTTCTTACAGTTAGGTGCAGCCCCACACCAAAATGGAAGTTGCCACATTGCTTATTTTCAAGCCATCCAATTCCCAAAGTTGACATGCACACATGGCAGCAGCCATCCTGATTTTGACCTGGCAACCCAGTTTTCAAAGTGAACCTTTCTTACACCTAGAAGTAGTCACACAGGAAAACAAAAGTCAGTACTTCATCTATTTTTCTAGCTAACATGCCGACGTCACGAACCGATGGACAAACAGAGGCAGGGTATTTCCAATTCTCTCATGAGCATGCTATGTAAATTTTGTGTACAAAGTACACTCAGAACCGTCATTGATTTGTTTAAAATGGAGCCTCTTGTTTATTTAATACATCCCTATAGATTTTACTAAGACTCTTCATGTTGTGGCTGATTTTTACATCGTAGCAAGATTATCATCCAGCATCATAGAGACTTATAGAAACATTCATAATTAATAAAAAAATTTATTGACGGTCTCTCATGGTGGCAGGTGATGATGTAATTGCCTGTGTCGGGGTGCAAGCATAAGCTTGTCTGCCTGTTAGCAAAATATCTCTAACTTCGGAACAGATTTTATTGAAACGCTTGGTGTTCATCTACAGCTGATTAACAATGGCTGCCACAGCTAATCTACATTTGCCAGCACAACAGATGGGCACTACTCTGCCATGTTTTTAAGATAATGAGCTAAACTCTGGTAGGGTAGTAGCTAAGAGTTATTCCCAACACATGCTCTGAGTGCTGACAGGTCACAGAAATCTCTGTTCATAAATCTGCCTTGTGAGGCGACAGCTGATATGCATTCCTTCAGTGCTACTAAAATCAAGTTAACACTTTACTGTCCTGAGCTGTTGTTTTAGGTGTGCTGTTAGAAAAAGTTGCAAGACTTTAAATATGTTTAATAGAGCATTTGTATTTTTTTAAACTGTTTTTTTCCTTCAGAAAACAGTTTGTTTTTGTCTTCATTTATAATTAGCACAAAAAATAAAATAATACAAATTATAGCAAATGTGTATGAACTAGTTTCATAAATCTAAAATGAGGTTATACATTGTCTTTATTTTAGATTTAGATACAAGAACGAGGTAATTCAATATTGTCTTTGAGATTTTGTTTGTGTCTTGCACTGATTGTTTTAAGAAGTACAGATTTATTTGTCAAATGGTAACATTTATTTTTGTTAAATGTTCTTTTTTTGACACAATAATTTAAAGGAAGCAGAGTTTGGTTCTGAACCTGACATCTTGTGAACTCCTGATGTTTACTGAACTTTTAGACTTTTTTTGTTTTATGCTCCACACAACTTTTGAAGGTCATAATTCATCTTATATAATTTGTCTGAATTGAGTCTTTTTGTAGCCTTTTTTTTTTTTTTCTGTAAGCGGAGCCACAAACTCTGAACCCTGAGTCTGAGTCCAAACTGCTACACCCAGCAGGAACTGTGTGACTGTGTGCTGTAACAAGATTTGTTGACTTTCAGCTACAACCACAACTAATTTTAACACAATATAAAACCTAACTGAGTTATATCCATCCATCTATCATCTTTACCCACTTCTTCCTTTTCAGGTCACAGGGGTCATTGGTGGTCCATGTCCAGCAGTCACTGTGCGAGAGGCGGGGGACACCCTGGACAGGTCTCCAGTCCATCACAGGGACACATAGAGACAAACAACCATTCACTCTCTCTCTCACACCTAGAGACAATTTAGAGTTACCAATCAGCCTAACATGCATGTTTTTGGTCCTGTGGTTGGAAACTGGAGTACCAGGAGAAAACCCAGGCATGCACAGAGAGAACATGCAAACTCCACCCAGAAAGGCCCCGGGCTGGGATTTGAACAGGCAACCTTCTTGCTGAGAGGCAACAGCTCTACCAACTTAGTCACATTCTTTTAATAGTTTTTTTTATGATTAATAAATTTGCAACAATTTTTGGATTTCCTTTGTTCAAATATTCATGCAGAAATGTGAACTTTACTCTAAATATTTTTTTAACAAACAGAACAAACTGTTAACTGGATATTTATTTAACGACTGGTAAGAGACTTTAATTCATTTCTTAAGTCTTCCTTCTTGTTCCCACGCAGAAAGACCCCCAGCTGGGATTCGATCATGTGACCTTCTTGCTGAGAGGCACCAGCTCCACCAACTGAGCCACCGTGCTGCCCTGTCATAGCCATTGTTGTGATTTTTACAGTCAGCTGGGTGTGGTGGCCATCTTAAATTAAGTTGACTTCGACAGATGAACGTTCACTGAAAACTTTCAACAAGTGTAATAAAAATCCCTCCAGTGGTTTAAGAGATATTTTCAAATTCTTTATATTTGGGTGTGCAGCGTCTCCATGAAATTGTTTCTGTATATTTTCTAACAAATAAATAATGTATTTATTTTAAACAGAATATTTTTGATTTTTTTTTGTTTGTTTTTACAATAAGTTTTTTCTAATGTGCAACTTCAAAACATTTCTTAAAGCCAGTTGCAGAAACACACTGGGACTGGTTTTCTTCTATGGTTACTCACCTTTAAATCTCCTCGTAGGAAGGAGTGACAGAAGTCGCGCACACGCTCGGTGGTGATTTCTCCTTCAGGTAGGAGCCACTTCATGTCTGAATTTCCGTCATAGAGCCCGACTCGAGGCAGGTCCTTGGACTTGAGGCCAAAGTAGTTCATGGACTTTAAGTTGGACTTTACAGCTCCATTGATCAGCACAAATAAAAACTGGAACACACGTTGAATACCAGTCAGGTACAGGTTAGATCATTTCATGTGTCAGAACATGAATGAAGAGCATCAGGAGACAGATGTGACTTTAGTTGGTCAGATCTGTCTGCGTGAACTGTTCAACCTGTGAAATGTGCAGATCGATTTGAGATTTCACGAGTATTTTCACCTTTCCTGTGAATTCTGGGGCCAGAGCTGCCAGTCTCTCCTGGAGCTCAACATATTCTTTACTCCCGCTGTGGGCAAAGAGCACGAGGTGTGACTTCACCTCTGAATTGAACAGACCCACCGCAGTCTGAAGAGGCAAAAAGAGGTTTCAGAGTGTTAAGATGGGAGAGGTGACAAAGTTTCACAGCAAGAGTTTGTTTTTAAAACGTGTTTCATTTAAAGCTTTTTTTTTTCTTCCAGATTAAATGAAGCTGAACTCACCACTTGGTTGTACTCTGTGATGTATCGAAGTTCGTTGGTGTTGATGAACTTCACAAGTCCATCCGAGTCTAACTTCTTTGTCCGAGAAACAACAAGGTTCTCCTGATGGTCATCGGCCTGGAGAACAGAACACACATCTTCATCGTCATCATCTCAAAACATGTCTATATATGGACAAATATAGAACGTAGTGATGGTGCAGAGTACTTTTCTGAAGAGGATGATGGTGTCAGAAGAGACGCTGTAGTCGGCCCACACCTCCTTCACGGAGCAAATAGCTGCAGGAACGGAGCTGACTCGATTTGAAGCTGCCAGGAGTTCCTTATAACCACGACTTTCCTCACTCTGAAATACAGAACATTCCAAATGTTTCATGGTATTATTTATAACCAGAGGGAAAAGAAAGTTCACTTTCTTTGAGTTTTATGTATCAAGACGTAATAAAATGACCTGGTCTTTATCAAGTTCTACAAACATTCAAATATAACCTCAGGTGTACAAAAACATTCAGCTTCCATCATGTCATTATTTATTCAATTAAAATAAAGACAAAAGCTAAATGTTGAGAAACGCAGTCAACAACGTGATCCAGTAGCTTCAAGAACAACTTTTAGCAGTGATGTCTCTCAGTAGTGCTTTTAATCAGTCTCCTGCGTTGGTTTTGGAGAAATGGTGGCCCCCTCATAACCCTCATGTTTATTAAATAGTTCTCTTCAATTTGTCTCTTTAATGCAATGGAAATATTTGTGTAACTATTTTTTAATAGCGTTAATACAACTTTTATACTTTTAAACCGGGAGCACTTTTCATTCAAGATACACTTAATTAACAAAAAATTTGATTTCAATTTCCAAAAATTGCAGTTTTGAGAAAATTAACAGAATCAAAAACCACTTTAGAACGTTACCTACTCACCCATAATGAACATAATCAATGTATCGCCACTTCTTCAAATTATTACAGAAAACTCTTTACATAAAACTGAACAGAATCAGTACTCAGACCAAGTAACAAGGATGAATTTGTAAACTGATCAATGCTGGAACGCAAATAGTGGGTGGGCCGGCAGGGGGGTGGAGGGTACCTGGGGGTCCTCCCCCAGAAATTTTTTAATAAAGTAGATGTGATTTCCTGCATTTTGATGTATTTTAACAGGTTATTAAACATATAAGCTTGTTAACACTAGGCTTAAGACTTTCCTTTTTGATAAATCCTATAGTTGGTTGTTGTGCTGCCATAGACTACTGGAGGACAGATTGACCTCATTTCCTTAAATGAATTGTTAAAATTGAATAGTTTTCATTTGATACTATTTCTATCAACATGATACAGGACCTGCCATTGTGTATCTGTTCCTCCTTCCTGTTCCTCTCAAACCCAGCCGATCGCTTGTCCTGAGCCTGCTTCTGCTAAAGGTTTCTTCCTCATGAGGGAGTTTTTTCTTTCCACTGTCGCCTTCATGCTTGCTCAAGATGAGAGTTCTGTGATGGAGTTAAACTCAAAGCAGTCTGCTCCTCAGATAAAGAGTGTTAGATTATTATTTTTATATATGAATGTTTCTGTTCAGTGCCCTGAGATGACTTCTGTTGTGACGTGGCGATATATAAATAAACTGAATTGAATTGTTAAAAAATAATAATAATAAAAAAGTTTTATTTATTTATTTATTTTTTGCAGACCCCCAAGCACCAGCTCGCGGACTCCCGGGGGTCCGCAGATGCCAGTTTGAGAAACACTGCTTTACAGCATTGCTTCAATTCATTCTGGTTTGTGAAAATTTGTTTCGGCACAACCCTCCAAAGCTCCGGCCCCATGGATAATTATAACACTTTTATTTTACAGACATTCTGTTGTTTGGGATCATTTTTCTGTTCATGACCCAGTTTGGTCCAGGCTTCAGCTGTCACACGGATGTCCTCACATTTGACTCTAGAATCCTTTGGTCTATAGAATTCATGGTAGGCTTCATGATTACAAGGAGTCCATGTCCTGTGGCTGCAAAACGAGCCCCGTTCAGCACCCCTCCACCACTGTACCGGACAGGTGGTACCAGGTGCTTGTGTTGATATGCAGTGTGGAATTTTTGCATGGCTCTGTGCATTATGGGTAAACATCTCTGATCAAATCTGTTCAGAGGGCATTGTTCCTGAAGTCCCATGTTTTATTCAGATTAAACTCAGCGAACCCAAGTTGTACTTTTGTTTTTTTAGAAAGAAGAGGCCTTTTTTTTTGCTGCAGCTCTTCCAAACCAGCCATACGATACGTGTTGAGACCTTGTCTCATAGTCCTGACACAAACTTTAATGTCCAACCTGCTAACTGAGGCCTGTAGAGTCTGACATGGAGCTCTTGGGTTCTGTAAAGTTTCTCTTAGCATTGCACAGTCTGACCTTGGGGTAAATTTACTGACATGTCCACCCCTAGAATTTATTGTGTGTTTTTGTACACTTAAAGTTATTTAAATAATTTCAAATCAAGCAAATGATCAGATCATTCTTAATATGTTCATTTTTTTAATTAAACTTTGTTTGTTTTAATTTCATTTTCAAGCCAAGACTCCAACTGATTTTCTTTGTCTTGTGACATCCACTTCTTTAAAGTTATTTTTTAATAACTTTGTGTACTTGTTTTTTTTTTTGTTTGTTTGTTTAACCAATTCCATTTCCAAAATAAATCTTATATAAGCCTTATGTAACCGGACCAAGACTATCCGTGGTTGCAGTAAACACTGGGAAAAAAATCAAGGAAAAATAAAGCAAGAACGACTGAGGCTGCCTCAAAGAGCAATGAATCACATCTATTTTTGAGATGCTGTTTTATGAACTCTGGCAATCTGATTTTTCATTTTGAAGACTCTGTGTGATCATTCTCAGTGAGTCACTGCTCCAATATTTTTGGTCTCCTGTTGCCTTCAGCCTCCAGCTTTGGGCTATCCTCATGTGCTCCCACCCTCGTCTGTTCTCTTCTCACGACGCTCCTCTCTGCATTGGACTGTTTGCACAAAGGTCAGTGGAGCCAATCCCACAGTCTTCAGCTTCATATATATTTCCATTCAAGCCTGCCATTTTCCCTTTGGTTGCAGGGTCGGTCCAGAGAAGTCGGGACAGCAGGCTACTGTCTGTCCGAACAACAAAGATGCTGCCAAAGGCGGGGTGGCAGGAAATAGATCATTATTTGAAATCTTCTTGTAACAGATACAAAGGCCTAAGTGAAGCTAAACTTCTTTTGAGATCTTACTTGTGAGTTTTCCCATTCAAAATTCTATTACGAGCTACAAAACCATTTATGTGAGACACATTTTAAATATGCAATTTACTTGTCTGACCTCCAGGAATCCGATGACCACCACTTCAGCAGAGTCTATGAAGGCCTCAACAGCTTTTTTGTCACTAAGCCTGAGAAGACTGGGGTCTGAAAAGAGAAACACAGGACTTACAAAAATATATATATTACTTCTTGGACAGTGCAACAACGCACTATATCAATGGGATCAACAGACAGGATCTACAGCCATATTGGAGTGAAACAAAGCAGTATGAAGAAATGACAAGGCTCTGGGCTGAATGCTAACATCAGCAGATTAACATACCAGTACTTATAATAATAATTTTAACGCATATAAATGTGTCTGTACTGAAACAATGTTTATTGAACAAACATGATCATGAAAATCAAAAATTTACTGCAGTGTTTAGCTTATTCATTCACTTAAAGCATTTAAGTTTATCAGTCATAAGATAAGAGATGGTGCAGGATAAACACTGCACCATCTCTTATCAGGACTAGGACTGGGCGGTATAGACCTAAATTAATATCTCAATATTTTAAGAAGTACAGTCCATTCAACTGCGCCGCCTACATGTTAGTAAGTGTGAACTGCGGTAGTGAGCCTCCACTCGGAACCGTGAAGCTACAGGTCCGACAGACCTCAGCCTCCTTCCCTGAAACAAACCGCAGTTCATAACTCATTTAGCCGTGCTGTGCCTTAAGAGAGGAACAGAAAGAGGTAGCAACATGAATAAATCAGCAGTTTATTATATCGCTAAAGACACGGGCCCGTCTCAGCTGTGGAACAAGACGCTAAAAGTTAGCCATCTTGTTAGGCGCTAAGGGCCATGTCTTTAGCGATATGATATGCTGATTTATTAATGTTGCCACCTCTTTCTGTTCCTCTCATAAGGTGCAGCACGGCTAAATGAGTTCTGAACTGTGGTTTGTTTCAGGGAAGGAGGCTAAACAAACACTCGGACCTGCCACTGCGCTGTTTTATATAGTGAAAAAGATTTGTATTTCCGACCTTTTGTCAGGACTGTTTTCAGCATTGTCTAAAGAAATCATCTTTCTGAAAAAGGAAGCGCCTCTAAGTGAGGCTGCAGCCTCAGACACCCCGTCTACCTTGTCTGTTGTTTGTTTGTTTGTGTTTCTTCGGATGGGCTTTACTGAAATGTAATTTTGTTGTGCTCCTGTGAAATGACAATAAAACTGATTCTGATTAATAAAACTCAAAAAGTTTTGTAGCAAACATGACATGCTGTCAGAGTGATAAAAGGTTCCATAACCAGGCTTAAATTACATCCCACAAAAGATGCAAAACTTCAGTATCCAGGTAGAAAGTTCATTACTTTATTCAGTAGCAATACATAATACAACCTGGTACTTACGGCTGTGTACCTCATAACCACAATGTACCTACAGGGGTACTTAACCCAATTCCCATAAGTGCCCAATATGTTGTGTGAAGTGACTTGTTACCCTGTATACAGGGCATGAAACTGATACTTAGAAATTATTTACCTGGTATTTACCAATATTTATCTTGTACCTTTGGGGTAGGTAACTAATACTAACCAGGAACATACTTAGCAGGTTTCATGTACAACAGATCTTCAATTGCATCCCAGTGGAGATGAGGGGCATTGAGTCTGAGTGGGTCATTTTCCACACTTCCATTGTTGAGGCAGCTGCCATAAGTTGTGGCGGAAAAGTTGTTGGTGCCTCTCATGGTGGCTATCTGCAAACCTGGTGACAGACAACTTGGAGGATTGAGGCCATCACGCAGAAGGAGTCCCAGGACTATTTTGAGGACATTCTCAATCCCACCAACATATCTTCCATGGAGGAAGCAAAGTCGGAAACTTTAGGGTAGTCAGCCCATACCTTCGAATGTGGTCATTGAGGTAGCTCAAAACCTTCATGGTAACAGGGCTTTAGGGGTGGACAAGATCCCCACTGAGTTCTAGATCTTGCTGGGTTGTCTTTGATGACATCCTTTGCAACATCATCTGGATATTGAGGACAGTGCCTGGATTGGCAGACAGGGGTGCTGGTCCCCTTTCCAAACAAGGAGGACTGGAGGGTGGCTTGCAATTACAGGAGATTCACACTCCTCAGCTTCCCCAGAAAGGTTTATTCAGAGGTGCTAGAGAAGAGAGGCCAGTTGATGGTCAAACTAGGATTCAGGAGAAAAAAAAATGGATTCTGTCCTGGCCATGGATAACTGGAACAGCTCTCAACTCTTATCAGGTTCGCTGAGGGAGAATGAGAATTTGCCAGACCAGACTATGTATATTTTATGGACTTAGAGAAGCCATGTGTTCCCTGGGGTACCCTGTGAGGTGTGCTTCATGAGTGTAGCCTCACTATCTGTTCGTGCTCACGCTGCGCATGTTACCGGCTCCTGAGATTCGGACCGGTACTGAGACCCACCTGGCCCACATCTCAGACTGGTTCCAGAGACAGAAGGTTAGTGGCTTTATTCTTGTTTACTCTGTTCAGTCTAGTCTGCTTACAGCCACTAATCTGTCTCTCTCCCCCAGAGCGGTCTGGTACCAGTACCAGAACCAGAACCTCCTGCCAGATGCCACCAGTTTAAAAATAAACATTTTAAAACCTTTTTTCTGAGTCTGTGCTTGTCTGATCCACCCCAATTTGTGACATTAGACCACAGTGTTGTCATTGTCGTTTATAAAATCTTTAAAATACATCCAATCACTCCTCGAGTTTGAACAACAGTAATTGCAAATGGCGGATCGAGTATTTTTGAAAAATTCTTAAACGCCTCTAGTGACTCTGCCCCCTGACCAATCAGTGATCGACAGTGTTCTGACGTCATGCTTTGGTGCCGGCTCGGCTCGCTTGGTACCACAGAGAAGAACGGACCAAAAAAGGTGCCAGTTCCACAAAAAAGTGATAATGGAAAAGGACTCGGAAGCGTACCGAACTGAGTCGAGTCGTGCTGAGGAGGAGCTATGGAAAAGGCCCATTAGAGTAGAGCTACTGCTTCACATCAAGAGAAGCCAGTTGAGAGTTAAGTACAGATACACCCTGGATGCCTTGCTAACATTTAGATATAACATTTAGCTCAGATGTACAAAATAATGTTACTATAATAGTTTTACCTAGGATTTGAAAAGTAAGCTAAATAATGGCAATGTTAGATGCATTTTGGAACATTGGACAATTGTTTCCTATATAAAAGTAAATAACTGTTGATTTATTATCTTTAAAATGTGAGTAAATAACAATAAGGTTTTTAGCTACTGCTGTTTAAAACAAGAAGAATCAAAGCTTGAACTTCCACTAAGACTTTCTGGGAGGTGTCTTCATGTTCTTTTCCTCCACATGTCAGTGTAATTGTGTCTGTTCCTAATGGACTTAAACAAAGAACTTTCTTCTAATCTTCTATTTTATGTTGGTTCACTAGCAATTAATTCTACTTCATACTGTATGAAGTTAATGATAAATCAAACGCATAAACAAATAAATACCAACAAGTCACCGCCCTAACTGAGTTAACTGAGACAGCCAAAATAATATTTGCAAAAAAACCCCAATAATAATAATAATAATTGCTGTGACCAAAAGAAATTTCATTATACAGTATGTAACCACAGATAACATAATATTAAAGAACTGCAAACATTATTAGGATTAATTTTCTGTTATCTATAAGCACTTTTTTCTTAAATCACAACTGTAGATGTCATATCAAGAGTTAATACAAGCGCATCAGAGCCATTTGTATTTCTCTCTGGGAATGCCTGTTGAATACTAGTAAAAAATATCCAGAAAAAATCATTCAAATGTTCAAAGCAGAGAAATATGACGCAGACAGCATGTGGTGGCTGAATTGCAACAATCTTCAAAGAGGAATATATTAGACAAACTAGAAAACAAATTACCTTTTTCTGCTGCAATAACAGAAGACACCAGAAAAGCTACAAACAAAGCAACCTCCATAGTTTGTCTGATGTAGTTCACGAGGGGGGAAAGTGAATCAAAAGGCCAACAGAGAAAAAATAGCTGTTCTCAAGTCCTCCTGTCACCTCCGTGTCTGATGGTCACCACATGGCAGGCATGCAACGTACCAGGTTTATGACTGGAAGCTTTGTGGGAATCAACCAGGTGCTGCTGATCAGTTGGAGGAACACGGATGCTGGGCTACGTGTCACCGATCCACAGGAGACACGTGTGTGCATGTGTGTTGCAAAGAATATAGTATATATATATATATATATATATATATATATATATATATATTTATATATATATATATAAATAGACAGACAGACAGACAGACAGACAGAC